TAGAGTATTCATCAGCTTTCCAGCTGTGTCCGCTCAGGGTTGTGGTCTCCGCTGATTGGTTGGCACCCTCACCCCCAGGGCAGTCATTAGTCAATGCAGCTCGTCCTGATGGCAACCAAGAGGTTGCTCATCTGCTTCTGCTGCTTTTCTGGGCTGGAGCGGAACCAACTGAGGCCTGGCTGTTATCCCCAGAGGTTAATGCTTAAGGGCAAGGTGGTGCAAGGGCTTGTCTGGGGGTTGTGGGAGACTATTCTCTCGACATGTGTTCCTCCTCTGAGGGGGTCTACCAGCGACTAGCAACATGCCAGCGGAGGAACAGTCACCCCAAAGGAGAGGTCCTAGTTTTCCCTGTTGCTATGTGCCTGGGGGTTCTCTGCCTGGCGACCTTCTGTGCCTGGCCCTCGTCCTTGCTCCACTCCTGTCTAACTGCCGACCCCAGAATCAGGCTCCCAGAGAGGAAACAGCCCGTGCACATTTGCGGATTCCCATGGAGCCCTTTCTCTTTGAAATCACACATGGCCTGGACTGATGCCTCTCCATCCCGCGTCCAGGGCTGTGGTTCTGCAAGGTCCTCTCTGGCCAGCGTCAAGTGACCTTGGATTTAAACACACACACACACACACACACACACACACACACACACACACACACATCAAGCTAGTCAGCCTTGTTCACTTAACACAAGAGCCAGCCAGCCCACTGGGCCCAACACAGGAGCTACACCTCAGATGATGGAGGGCTTTTTTCTCTTCTTTTTAAATGAGGACACCGTTTCTTTAATGGTAAAGGCTGGCCTGCTTTAGGTTCTAGAAATTGCCCAAGGTAACCCCACCTACAGTGCCAGAGCCCCATTCACGTGTGGACACATGTGTCTACACCAGACCTCTGTCATTTAACTGTCTTGATACCTCACCATCAGGAGGCAACGCTGAGCCGAAAAAATCCCCAAATGGCAACAGATTCTAAACCCAACTATTAACAAGTGCGGAGAAGTCAGGCCAAGGACAGGAGCCTCCCTCTCAACCAGCTCGCATGGTAACTCCAGGGAGCAAGGGAGGGAAAGACACGTTACTCAGCTCTTTCATGGACAGATTACTAAACACTGCAATCATTCTGTTCAACCAGCTTTCAGAAAAGAAAACAAACCATCAAGGACCGAATGACTCCAGGGACAACTCAGCTGTCCCCTCTCCAACAATGGCCCTACCTCAGAGTTCTTTTTATCACAATAGCTCTGCATAGGTTTCTGCCAACCGCAGGGGCTGCTGACTCAGGGCCCTGACACATGCTTAGCCCTGATCAAAAGACTCTTAAATGGCTTCACGAATGATGCCTAAGTGGTCTTTGTGAATCTGGCTGTCAAGGCCAACAGTGATGGTCTAAAGGGACCTCCCAATGCCAAGTAAGACTGTGCTTTGGGGTAACTTCCCCCGATGGGCTCATGTTGCCCAGGAGACAAGAGACAGAAGTAGCGAGATGAGCCATGGTCAGAGAGAGTGGGAGAGGACAGAAACCAGGGTGTGCGGAGACAGAAAGCATCAGGCCTGCCATCTAGCACTGAGCCTGCAAAGAGTCTTACAGCCCCTTCTCTTGCGGTCCTCTCCAGGGTGGGCAACACCCCCGTGGAGACATCCACAGACGCAGGTGCTCTGGCAGTAAGGCGTGGCTGATAAAACTAAGACCTGCCAGCCCGGCTGCAAATCTACTTTTGTCAACTCCAAAGTGCGGGACAGGAAGGAAAGGGCTTAAGTAGTAGGGCAAGCTTATATACAAGTAAGCGTTTCCCGACAGCAAGAAACTGTGTGTAAGCTTTGCAAGGAGGGACTAAGTGTGGTGCAGGTGCAGTTAAAATGGTGACGGGGACGTGAGTGCGTGAGCGCGCGCCCCTGGGAGCTCCATCTCACGCGCTGCTAGGAGCCCGTCCAGCCAGCCACAAGGCCACTCCAAGGCTTGAAGATGGCGACTGAGCTGCCACTCAGCTCCGGGTCAGGCACGTCAACTTCAAGAGCTCGAGCCTCCCCTGCATCTGAGGAGCTGAGTGTCTGCTGCTGTGAGACAGCATGTGGCTTCCTCACTCACCGAGGCCAGCATCCCAGAACACTTGTTTTTAAAGAAAAGGTTTTCTAAGGCCCGACAAAGCACTCTTTCTCAAGTCATCTTCATCCCTACCTAACCCTGTACTTTGAACTTGGTGCAACACTGCTTCAGCCCCCTGCTAGTGAAGCACACCTGAGGTCGGACTCCCTTTCCTTTCACGTAATTTGACAGTTGCCATAGTTACAGCGAGATAAGGCTGCAAAGAGATGAACACCCAGGGACACCTTAGAACACCGCCCGGTACAGGGTAGGCACCCAACCAATGAGCCTTTCTCCCTGGAAACACTGTGCTGGGGCCTCCATGAAGTCCCCAGGAAAACAGAGCAGGCTGGGCTCACAGGGGCGAGGAGAGCGGTTCACTGCAGGGCTCTGCAAGGGACGCGGGACGTGGCTGTAGAGATGCTCGGGCTTGTGAGGGCACGTTTATGGTCATCTCAGCAGAGCGATCCAAAAACAACACCCTCTGAACTCATCCTTTCTGGTTTGGTGTTGACAGCTTGACCCCTATAGTCAGAAGACACCCCTCATTTAGCAGAGCTAACCCGACTCTGGGGGTCCTGGCACTTTATGGCTTGAGCTGAGGCATCGGCTACAGTATGGTTCTGCTAACGTGCTCCCCAAGTAGTACTGACACCCAGGCCCCACCCCGGGAAACTTGTTAAAATCGGTTGGAGCAGGGCACAGCCATGAGTATTTTTTAAGCTCTCCTGTGCAACCAGGGTTGAGAACCACCTCCCTGGCATATTTTACTATGGCAACAGGTTTTAGAAGGTGTGTCCTTGGACGTGCAGGGAAGATACCATCCAGTGAGAAGAGCCTGTCACTGGCAGGAGGATGGAGCCACAGGTAATTCCCGCTGAAGCCCCCACATTACATCTCCATTCCCAGAAGAAATGTTAATTCTATACATGTGGCTTTAACACAATTATTGCTTACAGGCAGCCCAATAACCAAGAATTATCAAAAAGGTAACCAGAGGTGAGTTTTGAGGTTCGGCAAAATTATTCATCTGTTCACCAACTGCATATTCAACTAAATCTTTGTGGTGTTGCCAAATGGGAAAAAACAAAACAAAACACAAACCCTGCCTTAAATGCGATCTAACTATCAGCAAGGATGCTGGTGCAAGGCTTTTAATGGGAGCAAAGCTGTCCTAACTCTCATCCCAGCCCGACTCCATGATATGCAGACGGACAGTCTTCTGTGGCCATTTAAATGCAGCTGTATTGAGTGATGGTTTGGATTTATGTCCAAGGCACCTGGTTCTCTCATGAATAGATCTCACTGGCTCAGTCACTGCCATTACCCCAAGCCCACGCTGGTTAAGAGAACAGTAAATGAAGGTCTAGAATCTAGATGATCAGATGTCCAGCCCAGGATGGCTATGAATGCAGCCCAACACAAAATCGTGAATTTACTTAAAACCTTTTTTGCTCATAGGTTTTCATTAGTGTGTGGGTGTGTTTCATGTGTGGCCCAAGAGAACTCTTCTTCCAGGGTGGCCCAGAGATGCCCAAAGTTTGGACACCCCTGGCTCCAGAGAATGAACCTATTTCAAGTTATTTGTTGAACAAAAAAAGCCTTCCCAAACTGTCATCACAGAGAACGTCGGACACCTGGCACCTACGGTGCCGTCTCATGCGAAGGGCTGGATCATTCCTATGTTCACGTGACTGGGCATGACAGGCGGCAGTGACCGTTGAGGAGGCAGGGCTGGCTGCAGCAGGAGGTAAATGAATGGGAAGGAGAGACTTCTCCCTCGGGAGAAAGCTGGAGTACAGGCCGAGTTAACAGTTGTAAGGAATTTGAGATCAAAGGAATTCCCTAGAAAATGAAAACTGAAGTGTATTTAAACTCTAATTGCTTCTAACAATGAATACTTTTAAAACGCACCAGACAGAAGAGAAGTAAGTTTCAGTATAAGACTATCTTCCTCAAGAGGTTTGTTCAGAAATTCAAGGCTCGGCCAATCTGCGCAGAGGGCCTCGCTTGCAGCGCTGCGGCAGGCACCACGGGACAGGAGATGGAAAAGAGAGCAGTCCCAGGGGTTTCCCACGACCACTGCTCTTGGTGCCCAAGACAGGGTGAACCAACCCTGGAGGTCGGAGGTCGTCCCTCCCCTCCCTGTGCCTTATGAGAGGCAGGGACACCAGGCAAGGTCTTAACTCTGCAGATAAACAGCTGTGCAAACTCATGTAGCCTTGGATTCTTCTTCCTGACATGTAAACCTACGAGTTCTGAGAATTCCATACAAAAATGTAAGGAAAGCCCCTAAAAACACTACTAGGCTGGAATGAAGATCCTGCAGTGGCTGAGAACTGTTAAGTCAGATCAGACAGACGGGGGTCCTGTCGCATCAGGAGTTCGGTGACTTCTGGGACGACCTGGGGAGCCAGGTGCACGCGCAGCTCCTACCCACACACACCTCCTGCAGACGCTGCCCAGGGGCACCCCGCACCAGTGCACCTCCTCCGCCTCCCCCACCACCTCGGCTTTCCCACGAGCCTGTCCATGGCCATCTGCTCGGCACTGCGCACCACCTTCTCCAAAACAGAGAAAGAACAGAAAAGGCAATCCGCGGAGACAGAAAGCAGAGTGGGGGACGCGCGGGGCTGTAGTCAGGATGCACCCATGCTGAGTGCACGGCAGTGTCTTTTGGGAGTGATGGAACTGTTCTACAATCAGAGTGCAGTGGCAGCTGCACAGCTCCGTAAGTGCGCTGAACATCACTGAATCACACACTTTACGTGGCTGAGTTTTATGGCATGTAAAAGACACCCCAGTAAAGCTGCTGATGAAAAAACGTACCAGTGTGTTTAACAGTAAGCTGTGACGGTGCCGGTCCGAAGGTGGGAGAAGCAGCTCTCCGGGAAACGCAACACATGAGCACACAGAAGGCGGGCTGGTTCGGAACTGCTCCGCTTTAATGGGGTGCGCTCCGCGGCCACCAAGGGTGAGATGCAGTCCCCGGGAGCGACCACAACACAGTTTTTTTGTAAAGTGGGCATGATATGAGTTTAAGGTTTTATTTTTTTAGTGCAAATGGTCAAAAGTTGCAGAAAATGTCCTCAATCCTCGATTGTCTCTTTCTTTCCAGTTTCCTGCCCTTCAAAGAGAGGGTACCTGGCCTCCACATCAGCCCACGTGATGCTGCCATTGGCCAGATCTCGGACCACACTGGGCAGTTCAGAAACCTGCGGTAAAAGGAAAGAGAAACCCAAGAGTCAACCAATTTGATGGGACTGTCAGAAAGGTTTCAGCCTGAACTCAGGAACCTCACAGAGCCAAACCAGTGTTCACATAACAACGGGATCCCCTACACTCTGCAGTGCTTCCTGTCCTTCCCTGTGCAGCCCTCCCCTGCCCCAGACTTGGGTTCCTGCTCTTCTGCCAGCCCAGAGTGCCTGCCAGGCCCCACGAGGCCTTTCCTGACAATTCTAGCCATCTGTGTCCTTTACAGTCACTTCACATGTGTTCAATTTAGCTCTCAGAACAGGTGCCACTCACGTAACGTGAGCGAGGGGAGATGGTGCACTGGACAGCCCCAGCGGGGGCCAGCCTGTCCCTCAGCCGCACCCAATCCCTGCTGCCCTGCAGTGCAAGTTCGCAAACCTGAGCATCAGGACCACCTGGAAGTCCTGATAGAGCAGTTCTGCCGGCCCCCTCTCCCTCCCCAAACCCCACCCCACCCCTTCTTCTGATTCAATAAATCTGGGGCAGAGATTCTGCATATCAATCAAGTTCCAGGTGGCCCAGTGACCACCGGTGAGAACCATGGACATGTGGGATACAGGTCCAGGGAGGCAGTTCTGGTTTTGTAAAAGACAAGCCAGCAATCTGTGACTTCCAAACTGGACCATAAACTCCTTTGGGAAAAGCAGGCTTTTACCTGTTTTCCCTACGACTGACTGTCTACATCAAGCTGAGCGGTTACCAGGCTCAAATGAAAACCCGCTCATGATGAAAGAGTTAGGCAGGTGGCTGTCAGTGACACTGGCCGCTGCTGCCTCTCCCCTCTGCACTTTTCCCGTCTCCACTATCACCTTCTCGTTAGGAGATTACTAAAACATATGCATTGTTCTAAACAGATCAGCACGGAAAAGTTTATACCTGTACAGATACACATTTACGTAGAAATGTAAAGACGAAAATGTCCGAGCCTGTCAAAGCCACTGGGGATCCTACTTCTCCTGCCCAAGTAAACAAACGGCCATAAAAGCAAACTGCCAGAGAACGAGCTCAGAGTGATCCAAATGGCCATAAAATATGAGAGAAGTGATAATGGATGTTTTCATAATGAAACCAAGGGGCCTTGGGAGTCTGTGCACTGTGAGTCGAGCCAGTGATTAGAATCAGAAATTAAAAAAGGAAGAGGAGCATAAATGCACCGATGGCCAGTTCAAATCAGAAGGAACCAGCACATGTTTCTAAGGCCGCGGAGGCCAGGGGCGGGCCAGTCACCTCTGCTCGAATCTGCCGCATGGAGTCCCGGTCCCGCAGAGTCGCTGTGTGCGGGGTCTTGTTCACGGTGTCGAAGTCGATGGTGATGCCGAAAGCCACGCCAATCTCATCGGTCCTGGCGTATCGTCTTCCGATGGACCCAGAGGAATCATCCACTTTGTGGGAGACACCGTTCCTGGTCAGGGCTTCCGCTATGCCAAATAAATAAAGAACATTCAAACTAGAACAATGGAGAGTGCCAGTGTCATCTGAATGTTGTCTTACAAGGTGAGGAGACTTACAAAAGGAACTAAGACAGGAGAACACTAGGGAACCTCCCCAAAGTTGACTAAGCCCCTTGCTGGAGCTGGAGCCCGGCCCCTCCCTCTCGCCCACACAACCCAAAGCTGCAGGGGGAGGAGCATCAGGGCTGTGGCTGGTCCTCACTCCTTTGCCTCCCCCTGCACAACTCTGAGATGCTCAATGAGCTGAACTCTTCCTGTTTCGTAACTCCGAAATAAGGCAGCTGCACCAGGTGACCACGAGGACCCCTGCCAGCGTGGTGGGTCCAGTGGCTGCAGGTCCACCGGGGTCCCCAGTGAAGTGAGTGGAGAGCCGAGGCCAACAGGAGAAACAAGGGTGCTTTAAATCTGACTCTGGGGCCCCACCCCTGCCTCCTCCAAATGCTAGGAGCAAACACTCTCAGCTGCTCTCTCAGAAATAAGAGCAGAGGCTTGAATCACTTATTTATTAAAAAGCAAAAACAAAACATTACCTAAAATTCAATCTCTACTGGACAGTGTTCCCATAAAGATTACACAATTGGATTTGCTTACATAATTCCCTGACGAATGGCATGAACTCCTGGTTTTGGCTCAGGGGAAGGACGGAACATTTGAACGGAGCCACCACGGCCGGGAAGCTGAAGAACTAGGTGAAAGGAAGAAATCCAATGTGTTAGCTTGTAAAAATCTAAGTGCTAACATCCAAACTTCATTATTAAACTACCAGATCACACAGTACAAAAAGCAGCGTGACCAGAGAGTACAGCAGGCTGACCAGGACCAGGAAGACCTGCTTTTTAGCTCTGGATCTGGACCAACTCTGTCGAACTCTCTCTCTCTGGCCCTTGGTTTCTCCATCTAGAAAGCAGGTCTCTCCACCGGCTCTGCCTGCTTCCCAGGCTGGCTGTAAAGGCGAAATGATGTGAAAGCGTTCTCCACGCTACCACAGAGGATGCCAATGTTTGCACCACATAAACAGACTTACATCCTTGCTTCCTTCTGCGTAGATCCCAAAACCTCCCTCTAAACCACCAAACAGTAATGGGGGAGGTCCTGAAACAAAACCCCATTCTAAGAGTTTCAGCATGGCAGAAAGGAACCAAACAGTTTAATTAGCTCACAATGTATGTCCATAAGACAAAACATAAAATGAAGGAGAACGTTCTATACACCTGTACTGAAAAGCACAGCCCTCGGAAACGGCTCCTAGACAGGGCCCGGAGTCGCTCAGAAATGAAGGTGTGACGACGGCCTGTGGAAGGCGAACCAGCCTGCCACTCAGGGCTGGAGATGAGAACTGAAGACAGTTCTTAAATGATATGTATACAACCAGTTTGCCTGAAGGCAAGAACATGGAACTCAGAATGAAGAGGCCCCAGCGATAAATGACACTGGTCCCAGTTCAGCCCAACCCCAAAGAATTAACCGCGAATGCCAAGCAGTGGGGAACGCCACCCCGTGAGTAAACCCCAGACCCCACCGGGCAGCTGCCGGGGCCAGGCCACTCCAAACGCCACCCCTCGCCTACACCCCATGGTAATTCCGTGTGAGAGACGGGGACCTGCCTTTCTGGGCAAAACAATTTTTTAAAATCTCACTGACAATGTTTTTAGACCAAATTCATAGGAAAGGGGATTCAGGGACCACATGCTAACAATTTAACAACGTTTTTGGGTTCCCACAGCTTAATCGAATTGGTCTCTCTACAGCTCATAAAACACTGCCGCTGATTTACTCTTGCTTAGCCCCTACAGGCTCTACCGAAACTCTAGTTTTTCTCAATATTGTTAGAGTCAAAGGAACAGCTAAAAGATTTTTTTAAAAAAACGCTTTTTAACAAGCAGACAAACAGAAAAGCTTGACATGCACTGGACACGGGAAGAGAACAGACTCGATTGAGGACGCCACCAGCCGGCCTCACGTCTGCAGGCCGGGGTCCAGCCCGGGTTCCTCCCGTCTGCCAAACGGGTGAGCAGCTGCTCCTTTAAATGTCAGGAGAAGAAGATGCAACTTCAGGGCAGAGAATGAAATAGTAACTTTATTAGCTACATGCTACCAGCAGCGCGTCAGACTTAACCGGTTTTCCTGGAAGCCTGCGCCTGCACACAAGCCATGAGACCACAGCGGCACAGGCGAGGTGGCAAGGGCGGAGGGAGGCACCAGAGAGGGATGGAGTGGGAGATGGAGGCAGTGATTCAGAAGCATCAAAGCCAAAAGAAAACTTGCAACGCTGACACTGATGTCTTATAAACATTTGTCTTTAGCTTGAATGGTAGGAGGGGCTACACCCCAAATACTAGTGGCCAAATGCTATGAGCCATCCCTTCCGTTCTAGTTTTTGAAAACACAAACACACATCCAGAAAATATCACTCTTTCCACTGGTGCAACAAAGGACATTCCCCAGGAGGAGTGTGTTCTGTCTTGGAAAGGAGAGCACTGAGCAGCTGCGGCAGCGGCACGAGAAGAGCTTGCACACCCTCAGTTCAAAAGAGCGACAGGGCGCTGCTCTGCTCGGGGACGGCCAGGCAGGGATGGGTGGCAGTGCCATCAGCACGGTCACTCAGTCTTACTGTCGTGCCACAGCAAACATCTCCTCTGACCCCGTGTGAGACAACAGCGGCACCGTCCAGGACCACTCACCGTTCTCTGCTCATCCCCCTCGCGCACGTGAAACGTGTGTTCAAACACCGTGTACATGATCCTGCCCAGGCCGAAGGAGGGCTCGATGACATTCGGGACGACCTCTTCCACTGCGAGAGGGAGACAGGTTCAGTAAGGCACAGTGCCCTGCGGGCCCTCCGGCCACAACCCTCGTCAGCGCCCCGAACTCTATTCTAGAGTGCACCAGGATGAGAAAACAAGGACATTCCTGAAAACTGTTTGCTGGTTGGTCACGCGATGCCTTCACAGAGGAAGCTGGATTAAAAAGGTAAAATTTCAGCAAGTTGAATTGTTTATACAGCCTAAAGATGAAGCAGGCACCGAGCCGTGTCCTCCCCAGCTGGCAGCCTAGGGACCACAGTGGCTGTGTCCTGCCATCTGCCTTGCCTGTGTGGAAACTATTAAAGCTCCACAGCTTTGGTAAGATTTGGCTAGATTTAACAAACTGCCACGATAGTTGGCAAGATTCACAAAAAAAATTCCTGCCCTGACCAGTGTGGCTCAGTTGGTTAGGCCTTGTCCTGCAAAGCGGAAGGTCTTCAGTTCAATTCCCAGTCAGGGCACATGCCTGGGTTGGGGTTTGATTTCGATCCGGGTTGCGGCATGTGTGAGAGGTAACCAATCAAAGTTTCCCCCTCTCTCTAAAAATAAATAAAATCTTAAAAAAAATTCTTACACATAACAAGTATCGAATGGTTTGTTTTGCTTGCTATCTGGGTGAGAACTCTCTAAGAGAGCTGAGTTACTGCCGCTGTGTCCCCAGGGCTCTGGGGCGAGGTGGCCCTCAGAGAAGAGCTTGCTCAGGTACCCCAGTCAGTCGAAGCCACTTATCAGGGCCCCCGGCACTCCCCACGGGGGAGGCTGTCCCTGTGGCACCTACAGGAAATGTACTCCTAAGCATATTTCATTCTGGGTAGAGGCACTGCTAAGCGCTGTCAAGGTCTAAGGTACCTGACCTTAACCTTGAAGGGTTTGGGTTTCCAGGAAAATGAGGTAACTAGAACTAAAAACTCACATATGTGGAAGAGAGGCTACTTCCCTTGTCTGTGATAAAGAGTAAGAATAAGAACACTTCGAATACCATCAAGGCGTTTTCTGCCCATCCTTCCACGGCACCCCAGCAATGGTGTGGCACGGCCTGCGGCCAGGACGCGGCTGAGCAGCCCCACGTCCCCAAGAGGACCCCACTTCCTGTCAGCCCCTCAGAGTGCTCTCAGAGCCCACGGAAGCCTGGCTGTGACGTGGCCAGACACGAGTGGTAAAGCAGGCCGGCCCTCTGCACGGGCAGGAGCTTCCAATGACCCCCACCCCACTCCGTCCAGATGCTTTCACACAGCCACCGCTAACCTTCGAAGCACATGCTTCGCAGATGCTCCCAAAAACTCGTGTCCCCATTCACAGAGTTTCTTCTACCACGAGGGCCAAAAAGCCCGTCACGTGTTTTCCGTACACTAACAGCTCTAGTAGTGCTTAGCTGTCTTTGTCTTCATTTGAAACAATTCTGTTGGCGTGTATTGTGACAGTTGTCATATCAGTGTGCGTTAAAAAAAAGTTTATCAAAATTGGTGAATTTTTGTGCAGCCATTTTAATACTGAAGATAGAAGAATATCTGCAATATTTTCAGTGTGTTATGCTTTATTTCAAGAAAGGTAAAAACCCAATTGAAACTCAAAAAGATTTGTACAGTGTATTGAGAAGGTGCTGTGACTAATCAAACATGTCAAAGTGGTTTGCGAAGTTTCCTGGTACTATTCACATTCTGGGCAAAGAATTCTCTGCTGTGGGGCTGTCTATGCATTGGAAGGTGTTTAGTTGCACCCCTGGCCTCTACCCATTAGAAGCCAATAGCGGGAGATCACCGACAGACTCAACATATCCAAATCAATAAAGTTATTGGTGAAAATGAAAAATGTGCCTTTTATTTTACAGAAAAAAATGCAGACTTTTTGGCCAACCCAATATGAAAAATAATCATCTCCTTGGCTTTTGAAAAAGCATGAAAAACCATTAATCTAAGGGAATTTTAACAAATTAATTTGCCAAAAAAGGCAGAAGGAGTGAAATCCTCTTACTTAAGAAACAGAAGCACTTTTCCTTAAAATGGAAACAACATTCTTTAATCAGAGGCATTCTTCATACGTGCCTCAGGTCACAGGAAATAGGAAGGTGGCATTATAAATTATTCTCCAGTATGAGTACAATTATGTTCTTTTTAAAGGCCCAAGAAAACACATTAAACATAGTCATCAGAATTAAGGTTGTGACATTAAGAACTTATCTTTCTTCTTTAAAATTGCAGTAAAATTGTTGTTATAAAACTTAAAAAAGAAAAAAACCCTTTTAGGAGTGATGATATGTTTTGTTTCTTATTTTTACAAATTTACCATATAGTGTTTTCTGGAATCTCTTCACACTGACCATGTCTTTCGTCAACTGAAATGTTTTCCCTTCAGTTTCAACAGTGAACTCCCTAGGAAGAAACAAAGCACATGATATATTAGTGAAAACATGCATCGCTGGGCCTCAATCAAAGGGCTTCACAGATTGCTAACCTGTTTTTCATTTTCAGTGTAATACAACTTAGTCAACTCTCCAGATGTAACAGCTGAAGTCAAACTTAAATTATTTCATAAGAAATACCAAATTAAGTATTATTCTAACAATGGCACTAAACAGTATATTCTGGGAGGCACCTGAATATATGACTAGTTTTATAAAATTCCCTAAGTGACCTCATGACTAATTCCTTTGGTTTTGAGATCACAGTAAAACCAAAAACATTTTTAGAACAATTCAGTTTTATGGTAATTTGAATAAACTTGTCAGAAATGGGTCTGCTGGCAGAAGACCACTGTTCTTGTCACTGTCCCAACAAATGTAAAAACGACCAGCTTGCCATCTTATAGAGTAATTTTAAAACTCCCACATTATTTCCAAAATAAACTTTGACATTCACGTTGATGAAGATCAGCTTAAAAGTTCCATGAGTCTGTGTGATATGTTATTATAAAATATTACCGCCCCCAAGTCACTGACTGTAGTGCATTCATGTCCCGAGGTGCGCCCATTCAGTGTCAGGTTCCGCCCACTCAGTGTCAGGTCCCGCCCATTCAGTGTCAGGTTCCGCCCACTCAGTGTCAGGTCCCAAGACTTCACATTTATTTATAAAGTGCTCCTGCGGCGTTTCCTCACATCAGGACCATCGGTTTCGACACCTCACAGGCTGTGCAGTGCTGGGAAAAGGGAGCCCTCCCATGGCTGCCCGCGAAGCTGCGTGGCTGGCACTCAGTGTGCTGAGTTTGGCTGGTTTCCAGCAGTGACGCTCCCATGCATCACAAAAGTAATTTTCACTGATTTCCGCCATTTGTACATTCCGTCAGAAGTTTGTGTGTGCATGCATTGAAGATTGCATTCCACTAACAGTAGCATGTATATTCTCTCTGAGAGCAGAGTCTAAGTACGGAGGAGGTAATAGTTATTAAAAAGATGAAAAGAGCAAGGAGGTAGCCTTATTTGAGAATTAAAAAAGAAAACTGCCTGATTTGCAGATAGTATATAACTAGTGATCTATTTCCATTTTAATAAAATTTGATGTTGTTTCCACGTAAGTAGATGTTGAATTCTGGGAGAGAGAAATGCTGTAAAATTTTCCCACTGAAATGGGCATCTGCACCCTCAATAAGGATTTGCCTCACGATGGTTCTCATGACGAGTGTGGGCGCATGTGCAGCCCCAGGGCTCCAGGGGTCCCAGCAGCCCTGCTCTCCACCCCCCGCCCCAGCTCACCACCACACGCCTCCTGCACTAGACAGGTTTGCCTTTGCCAGAGTTTCACATAGGACCATCGGCGTAAGGCTTCTTTCACTGAGCCAACATCGGAGCAGGTGCTGGCAAACTTTCTGTATGAAGCCAGTCATCCAAGATTCCAGGGTTTGCAGCCATGTGTGGTCCCTGGTATTCTTTTTCTTGAATGTTTAAGGCTTTAAAAATGCAAAACTCACCCTTAGCTGGAGTGCTGTACAAAAATAGTGTGAAAGATGGTTCAAGTGCATTTAAAAAAACGTGTGTTCTGGTTATTAGACATTCTATAGCTGACACTGAAGTTGATTAATAGTGACCTTTGAATTCCAATAGATTTTTTTTTTGGTCTATTTGTTTCACCAATTACCGAGAAAGGCGTGAAGAAATCTCCAACTAGGAAAGTGGATTCACTGATTTTTCTTTTCAGTTCTGTCAAATTTGCTTTATGATTCTGAGGTTGTTTTCAGTTGCACATACAATTACAGGTGATAGGCCTTCCTATGACCGAACCCTTTACATTATGAAATGCAACTCTGCCCCCAGTAATTTTCCTGGTTCTGACACCTACTTGTCTGATATTAATAGAGCCAATCCACCTTTTTGATTAATGTTTGCATGGAAATATTTTTTGATTCTTTTAACTCTTAAACTTATCGTGTACTATAATTACAGTAAGTTTCCTGTAAACAGCATTTAATTTAACTGGATCTCGAAGTTTTGAAACCGTCTGATGATGGCTATTCATTCAAGTTTTTAGATCAGCAATGTTCGACCTTCTTCATCGCACGGCACATGTAAACGAATTACTAAAACTGCACCACACCAGGAAATGCAGTTTTCGCCAATTTGAGGGGAAAAAAGGTATAATTTTGGCTTACGAAAAAGTAGTAATAGTAATTACTTTTTTTGCTCCAAAGTGACTTTTTAAAAAATCAGATGCCTATATCTGTATAAAAGGATTTCTAGTACTAAGAATTAACCAATCAGACATAACCTTATTATGCAGTAAGATGTAACTCTACTATATGACCTATATTTATGGTTCAAGGCAGGGTATTCACACCGGACTGCTACTGTTGTGTTGGTTATTGTCATTTTTAAAATATGACAATCTAAGGGAAAAGAGGTCAGTGCCTGTGACTAAACACTCGGATACCGCATGCTTTAAAGGTTCTTGCGGCACATTGGTGGAAAACCATCGGTTCAAGTCGCATGTTTAGGTCACACGCTTAGCACAATTCCTAATATTGTTGAGTTCAAACTTGCCATCTCATGAGTTATTTTGTATGTGCCCCATCTGTTCTTTGTTCATTTTTCCTCTTCTGTCTTTTTCTGAGTAATTTTTTATTATTCTATTTTATCTCTTTTACTGGCTTATTAGTTATATCTCTTTGGTTTTTATGTGCTTTTTTCCAGGTAACTGCTCTAGAATTTACTACATATACTTTTATTAACTCATCATAGTCTACCTTCAAATAGTATCATGCCACATCACACACAACATGCATGCCTTACACGGCAGGTTCCCCATGCTTTGCTCTCATCCTTTGAGTTACAGATGGCATATACGTTTTACTTCTACTTTATAAATGTCACAATACATTGTTATTGTTTTTGCTTTAAACAGTCTGTTATCTTTTAATGACAAGGAGATGTCATTTTAAAGAAATTAGTAAAAATGTCATTTATACCTACCCACATATTTAACATTCTTAGAGCTCTTAATTTCTTTGCGTAGATCTAAGCTTCCACACTTCTGCTTAAAGATCATCCTTTAACATTCCTTACAGTGTAGGCCTGCTGTCAATGAACTCGCTGAGCTTTTGTTTGTTTGAAAGCTTTTTCTCTTCATTTTTGAAGGATATTTTTGCTGGGCCCAGGATTTCTGTCTGTAATCACTTTAAAAACTGCCATTCTACTACACAGTAGCTTGCCTGGTCTTCGATCAGAACTCTGTAATCATTCTTCTCTCCACTCCTTTTAATGTAACGCGAGCCTTTTCTCCCCTGGCCACCAGAGAGAGTTTTCTGTTCATTACTAGTTTCCAGCAATTTGATTCTGATGTGCATTTATGTAGCTTTCTTTGTTTATTCTGCTTGGGGTTGACCTTCTTGAATCTCTGAGCTTACAGTTTGCATCACATTTGGAAAAATTTCAGCTACTGATGCATCTTCCGATATTTTTGCTCTGTATCTGCTCCCTCTGACTCACAATTACCCGTCAGAGTGCTTCACACTGTCCCAAGGAACACTTTTTTCTTCTGGTCCCTTTTTCTATGCCTCATTTTAAATTTTTTCTATTGCTGCATTAAGTCCAATAATTTTCTTCTGCAATATTAAATATCTTGTTAGCTCCACTCAGTGAGTCTTCATTGGGCTACGGCCCCTTGATGCTTCTTCCATCAGTTCTTTTCCACATTCCATTTCTCCCTCACGTGCTCATGCTTTCCCCTACATCTCTGAGCATATACAGCATACTTATAACAACTGTTTTATTATCTTGATGTATTTGTATTTATTCCATGATGTTTGTCATTTCTGAGTCTTTCTTTGGATCGACTCTTTTCCCCGTTATGGGTCACATTTTCACATCTACAAATTTCTGTTTGCTACATATGGTAAATCTTGCACTGTTTAGTGCTGAATTTTGTTGTATGCCTTTAAAGATTCTTCTCTCCTTTTATATTTATGCTTAAAACAATTAGAAACACTACGCCAAAGCTCAAAGAAAGAACACCAACTTAAAAATTGATACAGTTTCTAACCCTTCCTCAGTTGCTACCTTGGACAAGTCTCCATGTCTAAGACAGTTATCGGGAAAGAGAAATGATCTTTACAGTCCATTTCGAACTTGCTTCCGTTGCTAATACCCAAATCTCTGCAAACCCAGCCCTTCAGCTGAGGCCCAGAGAGGGTGTTAAGCTGCAAAGAATGTCTGAAGATACTTGTCTCAGCCTAGTGTTCAGAAGCTGGCAGAGAGGACGTGTCTGCCTGGAGCCCCTGTAGAAGCACACGTCTTAACTCTTACCCCTTTTCATTCAGCAGCTTCTCCATTTCCGTAATGTACCACTCATCACACACAGCAAGGTGCTCCATCACCAACTTCGCGTCCTTCTTATACGCCTTGCCAACTGCGCCCTTGTTGGGCTCAAACTGAACAACGTTGACGGTTCTGTATGAAGCAGTCAAGGAATCCAAAAACAGAGAACTGCCTCAGCATTTTGGGAAACGCTCTTGAGAAACACAAATCATTCAACATTAAGTAAACACCGACATAGAGATTTTTTCAAAGTTATAGTGAGACAAAGGGATACCACCTAATCAGCAATATAACCCAATATATAGCATAATAAGTTCTGATAATTTATTCGTTTCTAGAATGTCCAACACCACTGGCCTAGTCCTAAGATCAGCTCACAACTTTTCTGCCTAGGAAAGGACAGGACATTTTACTGTGCTGATGAACATACCAAGTGAGCTGAATGAACATAAAAAGTTACTCTTTTTATCTACCATAAAACAGCACTCACTCACCTTTTAACAGTGAAAGTATTTACCAGGTGCTCTGTATGTGAACGGTATGTGGGTGGGTGACAGTGTGGGTAAATGCATTTTGGAAATGGCTGAGAAAAACTGCTCCACTCCCTGAGAGACATTTAGAGCATTTTTCTGAAAATACTTCTTTTAAGGACCAAACACCAAGTGGACACATGAGAGATTATGAGCAGAGAGAAAGGAAAAGGACCAGCAAAATGGATGAAGTCACAGGTTTAAGTCTCGCCCCAAAGGATCGCACATCTCGGTTCGCCCACAGAACAGATGAGTGGACTTGGGCTCATCTCATTCCGAGATGTTTACACTCCGGTCCTAAGTGAAAAAGTCACTAGAAAGGATATGGGCTCTTTCAGCGGCTTCTCAGCTACCAGTGGGACTTTGGTGGCTCGCGCGTGACAGGAAAGGTCGTAACAGGACCGGTCGGCACATCCGACGATCTCAATCCAGCCCTGAGAAGACAGAATGGATGAGAACGTTTATTCCTTACTTTGGATTCATTCACAAATGTATGCGGATCATAACTGACTCTGACGTCCTCGAGGACAGCTCAGTTACTGACTCCCCACTCAGCTGGTCCAAATGTGTGAAACGGGTGGTTTCACACACCGGGCAGCGACGACCCTGGAAGCCTAACTCTCGTGTGCACACACAGCACTCTTCCTGCTTTCTGGACACACTTCCATGCTGGGGATGTGGGATAAACGAACAAAGTCTGGGATTTAACTATGGAAATAAACTGTGAACCTAGGGGGAAAACCGGATTTGTTTCAAATTGGTGACCAGGATTCAAAATGAAATCTAGTAGAAACCCCCACGTGTTTGGGGTGGAATGTCCACAGCTCTCACAGCTCACGTCAGATGGCTGTCTCCTGCCCAGCGAGCGGAAATTCAGTGAAGAGCAGGTCATGTTTGGGTCACAGAATGAAGCTAAAAAACAGCGTGGATGCCAGGTTCCATTTTTGTTAACACCGAAGATACTTTTCAAAAGCATAATCTAAATTGTTTTCAAAGACCCTTTAAAATCTGTTAGTTTGAATAAGAACAAAAGAGATAAAAAACTTATTTTAGTAAGTAGCTAGTCCGTTTTCGTGAATATTTATTTTTTGCCTTTGACCCAAAGAGGGAAAATTCAACCATCATGAGTTTTCCAAGTGCGTGGAATAAAGAGAGCAAATGCAAAACGCACAAACTCAGAAACCCCAACACAAAACAGCCCCAAAACTGGAATTAAGGAATGAAGCCCCAGAATATGCAGCTTGATCATTGGACACTCTCTAAGATGCCAAGTTGTATACTGATATTCTTAAATGTATGAACTTGGTGGTTGCCATTTACCAAAGATGTCGATGAACGTGTGTATTGTTGTAGACGATCGGCGGGTAAATACACACTCTCGGAGTCCGGAACCAAATTGATAAAAATTTTAATGGCCAAAGATTTTCCTGCGCAGGGGCGAACTTCCCCAACTGTGACCGGAGTCACGTAGCTACTCAGAGCTACAAAATGGAAGTCGCGCCTGGCTTACAGACTACTGGGTATTTATATTTTCTAGCAAGCAAGCAAAGGCACACAGAAGCAGAGGTGGCGGTTAGCTATTGGCTTATTTAAAAACGGCGAGGGTCCCTGATTGGTGGGTGCTGCTGCTGGCGGGCACTTACTGGCAGGCCGGGTTAGTTACCTTATTTGGCTAGAATTTTAAACCCAATTGTTCCTGGATGTTTGTTCATTACCCTGTTCCAGGAACTGCAGATTTAGGGTTGGGTAATGCCCTAGCTGTAATTTTCCTAGCTGGGTATAACATGTATGTGCTAAAAGGTAAAGTTATAGAAACGTGCCCGAGAATGGTGAACAGCTTTGGGGTAGCAGTTACTTCTGAGGAGGAGAGAAAAGGATGGATGGAGCATTAGCTGTATCGGTAACTGTTTTTTATTTAAAAAATTAAATATGAAGTACACTAAAACAAAATCCTCATTTTGAATGGAGTTCTCCCTCTCCTTTAGATTCTGTTACCTGGAAGCTTCTGGTTTTGTTTACCCCAGTTTTCCAATGACCTTACACAAAACACTGCAGCCTAATCTCAGTGCTAGGCCTACATCATTATTTACTTTTTTTTCTTTAACTTTTTTAAACTTAGGACTTATTTACATATAACAAATTAGTTTCAGGTATACAATGTAATGACTTATATTTGTATATACTGCAAAATGATCACCACGGTAAGTCTAATCAATATCTATCAACATTAATAGTTACAGATTTTTTTTCTTGTGATGAGAAGTTTTAAGGTCAACTTTCTTAGCGCTTTCAAATATGCGACAGTGTTATTAACTACAGTTACCGCGCTGCACCTCACACCTCCAAGCCTTACTGGGCCCATATTTTCTGGTCCCTAGTCCTTGAAGGCTTGGCCACAGCTCCAGAAGCGCTCCGGAAAGGAGGAGCAGGAGTGTGGGAGGGTCCCTAAAGCCTGTAGCAAAAGGGGCAATTAAGAGCGTGGGGCGGAGCCTGCCAGCCCTGTTCGGAGTCCCACCTCCACTGTTCACCAGCTGCAGACTCCAGCAAATTACTTAACCTCTCGGCACTTCAGTTCCCTCAGAAACAATACCTATGAGTAGGATAATGGTGGAGATCACATCAGATACCCCACTGCCCTTAACAATTACAAATATTAGAAAAATAAACAAACACAACAGATGCCACGTAACCCAGGCCAGACCCAGCATCTAAACAGAGGCAGCAAGAATCTCTGCCTGGTTTAACTTGGACTTGGAGAGCGAACTACGAAAGGGACCTGGTACGGAACAAAGAGAAAGAGATAAGCCTCTCCCACACAAACCAGAAAATATTATCTTGGTTTGATTAGAAAATAAAAAGAAACTCCAGCAAATCTAAAACATGTACAGAAATTAATCAACCCCTGTATCATTCAAAAATAATTACTACTGTCACTTTGGCACACATATGTCAAAGCTTGTGAAGACATGGCACACATATGTCAAAGCTTGTGAAGAAATAGTTACAAGAAGAACCTAACAGATCAGAGACTCTTTCCTAGTTCCACAAAGGAAAAAGAACATACTAAAAACGCCAAGAACAGTGACTGCAGACACATGCGCACCGTCACGCATGCGCAGAGGGTGCGTCTGCAACCACAGAAAAGCACCTGGACCAAGGGCTAACAAACCTAGGCCCCTGGGGCTAAGTTTGGTTTTTATATTTTTAAAGGGTTTAAAAAAACCCAACCTGACAACAACAAAGACAGGCAAGAGAGATCCTCAAAACCTAAAATATTTACTCTATATACTATAGAAAACATCTGATCCAGGAAAGAAAACAGGGAATGCTTTTGGGGAGACGCATCTAATTGCAAGTTTCACTTTCTACATAGTATTCTTCAGAATTATTTTTTGCTCTTTGTTTTACAAAACGACTACATTTTTTATAACTAGTTTTTATTTTTAATTTAAAAAATCAATCTTAAAAGAAAGACCCTTTAAAAAGTAAAAGTGAAACCAGGGGCATGTGGGACTCAACCCGGGCTGAAGTCTCCACAGGGTAAGAAGCCCCTCCAGGACCGAACAGGCCGCCAGAGGCTCTCACCCGGGCCTGGGTGCCGCTCTGTCCCCATGGCCCCCTGTGCAGAAAGCACCCCCGGCATCCAAACACCTTTCCGTCCTAAGTTTAAGTACAATATCCATGGTGGGGGTGGGGTGGGAGGGGCAGTGAAGAGGTGACCCAGAGGCTTCTCTCAATTATTAAACGCACAGAATTGAGAAAAGGTCGTTCCTACATAAGAGGTCAGAATCTGCAGGTCTGTCCCCCTATCACCGAGTAGCTCTCCAAACTGAGAGCACTAGGGCTTTCTTTACTCGGCCCCACCACCACTCAGAGTCTGCCCAGGCTGTCAGGACGGAGGCCCCCGCTCCTCGGTGTGCTCAGGGACACCCCGCCGCCACTGCCTGCCCCTGGACTGCACAAGGGTGTCCCCTGCCTCCCTCTCTCTTTGCTGAGACACCTGAGCCCACCGAGGGCACTGGGGACGCAGAGCAGCCCTCACACGAGTGCAGGGCAGCTGCTTGCCTGGTGCTCAGGAGAAGGCCTCTTCCTTCTGCTCCACTCTGACATACAGCGCACAGAAGGCAATTCTGGCATCCCTGCCTCTCAGTGAGCCACGCGAGACCACACCCTGAAAGCGACCCCACTTACGTAGGACGTCTTGGACTCGGCATCCCAGCAGTCACAGGCGTAATGGGCCATCTCATTCTCCATGTGCTGCCGGAAGCGGAGCTTGTCTGGCGACACTCCAACCTTTGTGAGGTAGAGGTAGATGCGTCCAAGGAAATAGCCCAACACGGAGTTGTTAATCACACCCTGAAGGTAAACCAGTGAACAAGTAAGTAACTGCACAAGTAAGCACACAGAGAGGAAAAAGAAACGCATTAACTCTCTGGAAGGCCAAGGCACCACCCTCCACTGACTTAAGTCATAATCTGAAAAATATTTGAAACACACAGTAAACTAATTTACCCAGCTTCCGGAATAATCTCAAAGCCGAGGAGGTGATCTTAGCTATTTTTATAGGGATTAATGTCCAGTTAATAAGCTGATGATAATGGAGTTATTCAAAATGAAGTTACCATACTCACTGGGTCAGCAAAAATTTAGCCTAATACCTTATACCTTCTAAATCTACAATACAAAAAAATGACGGTCACCATAGTACACTAGGAATGATGGGAACAGTATCAGAAGGAAACCTATTCCTTCCAAATTAATAAAAGCAGGTGTGTCGAGGGGATTTAACGAATTCTCATCCCCTGCAATACGTGAACCTGGTACAGTGTATGTAATCTTACTACTTCTGTCCTGGGAGGGTCTCAGAAATCATCCAGCCCCCTGCCAGGTGGCCAGCAAGTTGTCACCCAGCCTCCAACTGGACATTTTCAGGGACAGGAAGCTCACTGTTCCCCAGGGCAATTAGGCAGCTGCTGTCAGAGAAGTTTTCACACACACATTTCTCCAGACAAATAATTAGAGTAGTTCTATTATATGCAAGACTTTTCCCCAACTGCTGTCAGTAACAGAGAAGAGTTTAAGACCCAGAGGGCTTGATCTCTGTGAGTCAAATGTTTCCCCAAGAGTAGCTCGTGTTGTTAAAAGTCGGACGGCTAAAGCGCAGTTCAAACCAAGGCCTCTTTCCCACGTGGTCCCTAAACATTTTTCTCATGTTAACCCTGATGGCTCACAAATCACCATGTCGAGGTAACTTCCTGCTACTATAATGAAAGTGTATAATACACAATGTATAAGAACAAGTAATAAAATGACTGCTAAAATAAAATACTTTGTCATCCAGTACACGGAAATTGCTAAGTGCCACAAACCCTGAATAGGCATAACCTAAATTAAGTCACCTGTGGAACCCTACCTGTTCAACAGCGTCCCCTAGGCGCATTTTCCGAGCAGACTGCCCGCTGACCTGAGCTTTGGCGGAATACAAACAAAGGTGCAGGTCCGCCACGGTCTGGAACTTGGGGTGCTCCTTCTCGCTGGGGTCTACGAAGTGCTCGATTTCTGCCATTGTGAATTCTCTGAAAGCAGGAATATGAGGGCCAAATGTTGCATGCTTCACTATGAACACAATAAACGAGGCCCTATCTTCAACTCTGCTCTGTAAGGATACAGGCCTTCGTGCCACAGGAATATCTTATCACTAAACAGAACACTGTCTGCCTAGGAAAGAGGCTGGATACGGTATGTCTGGGTGTCTGTTAATTTTAGCCTCATCAATGAAAACTTTACTGCTCGCTTAAATAGTATTTTAAATAAATACAACCAAACTTCTTAATTATTAATTCCTCCTGTCTAGTGACAAAGACTCTTTACTTGACCAAACCTTAGTCAATCTCTTGACCCTTCTGCTCGGCCCACCTGTGTGGCCTGAGCGAGAGCCCGGCTTAGGCGGTTTAACCAGGATCCCCCACTGTCCGGTCGCCCTACATGTTTTGTCACGTTTGTCCCTCTGCCGCCCACTAGGTGCTGGCTGGTCACGGGCCTGTCTGCGGAAGAGCCCTGTTGGGTCGGAGCAGTTCAGCCAGCATCCCCCGTGCACTGACCCCCACCCTGCTCTCGGCTGTAAACCCCGCTTGCCCATGCTGTACCGCGGTCCCCCCTTATCCGTGGTTTCACTTTCCGAGGTTTCGGTAACCCTCAGTCAACTGTGGTCTGAAAATATTGAATGGAAAATTCTAGAAATAAGTAACTCATAAGTTTTACACTCTGTGCCATTCTGAGTAGCACAGTGAAACCGCACACCTCCCGCCCTGTCCCGCCTGGCATGTGAATCACGCCTCCGTCCAGCATGGCTATACTGCACCCACTGCCTGCCGCCAGTCACACAGTGGCCTCTTGGCTATCACATCGGCTGCCTTGGTGGCACAGTGCTTGAGCCCAGGCTGCCCTCACACAGCCTAATGCCCCATCACGATGCCTCTGCCTTTTACTCACACATCTCCTCACACAGGCATTTCATCATCTCACATCATCACAGGAGAGGGGGACACAGTACCGGGAGGCATTCGAGACAGAAACCACATTCATGTAACTTTTATTCCAGTGTACTCTTATAATTGTTCTAGTTTATTATTCATTATTGTTAACCTCTTCCTTTGCCCAACTTATAAATTAAACTTATTACAGATATGTGTGTGTACACACAAAACAAACACCGTGCACCAAGGGCTCAGCACTATCCGCAGTTCCAGGCATCCACCGGGGTCTGCACCACATGCCCCTCGGATGACTTGGGGGTGCTGTATTTGGAGGGGAGCCCTGATCTGTGCTGACGTCTCTGTCCCGCTTGAAATGGTCCTGAACATAATCCTGTTATTATCACTTTAAGTACTTCCCATCTGTTTTTGACACTAACCACAACCACAGAAGATTATTTATTACTTTCAACGAAAAACAATTTTCAAAGAACAGATTGATAGTTTTTAAACGTAGGAAAACTTAAGCAAATATCAGGCATGAAAACAAATGAAATACAGAAGTGATTTCTAAATAAAACAATCTGCTTAAAGCATTAGCAAGTCTGATAAATACACACTAAATGAAGCTCCCAATATTTACTTTTCAAAGAACAGGAAATTAATAGTGAATTGAAATAGCTTTTACAGTACTGTGATTTTCTCTTTTTGATTGCTCTGAAGACGTAAACGACTGGTAATGGCACCGTACAGCTGGTTTCTTTAGAGTGACAGACTCTGACATAAAGCGTTATTCAGAGCAGATGACAGGCACAAGTCAGTGGGACAAGCCAACACCAAGCTAACTGCATGATGGTAGAATAAATATGCACATAGAAATGACTTCCCCAAGAGGTTCCTCTGAAGGCAATTGAGTAGCTACTGGAGACAAAAGTGCTTTAAGTTAATTTCATGAGTAAAATCAAATCTTTCTTCTTTAAAACAACACATTTACCAGTGCACTTTCATGATTATCTTAGATGTTTTAGAAGTAACGAAAAACTGCTTATGGGTCTGAAAATACATGAGATGCATTTCAAAAGTTTAATTTTTAAATTTCACTTTTTCAATGGTGTTTCTATTTGGTCCTGCGGCACCTAAGTCTGACTGTCTTTCATCAACGATCGGACACCGCCTGTGACACGGCAGGACGAGAGCCGGCGGAGCATAGTGTCTGAGGAACGCGCACAAGCCCGCCCCAGGGCTGACAGCAGCGGGGCATCTGGGCTGCTGGGCAGACCAAGAGAGGGACCTCGCCCAGATTCCCAAAGCAACCTGCTGCCAGAGTCTCTGCATTGCTCTGTCAGGTCGCCCAGCTCACGACAGCAGGTGGGAGCCATCACTGACACTGATCTCACCAGCGGCCTCTTGGCTTTGACTCTGGAGACAGCACCTGCAACCGTGGAAAGTGAAATGCACACGTGCTGTTAAAAGGCAAAAGGCCCAAAATGGAGTAACTTGCATAAAGCCCCACATCAGCAAACCAAAACTTAACATGTGACCTAATCACAGTTTTCGCCTATCACAAAAATGTAAGCTTTAACCTGTCAGCCTGGAACTACCGGGGCAGCACTAGTATGGTGACAAACAGCAGACCCCCTCCGCTCCCCTCTGGAGGAGGGGAGTAATTTCCTTTTACTGCCCCTTCCTGACTTTGAAACACTTTCCTTCTGTACAACCCAGCGGAACTTCCGATTTGCTAGCTGGGATCCTACTTGGTTCATAAACTGTTCAATAAAGCCAACCAGATCTTTAGAATTTTTGTCATTTAACAAGGCCCAGGAGACAGAACCAGCCAATCGAAGCTCAAATCTTTAAAATTTCCTAAGAACAATCTAATACTCCCAAGCAAAACAAAAGGAATCAAAGCTGTACAAAAAACGATCCCCTGTTAATGATGTCCTCAGAAGAAATGACATGACTAAGCAAACCCTGGCCCTACAGCAAAAACTCCGGGGACAGTGACCCATGGAAGAATGGGCACTCTTCTAGTCAGAACCCCACAGAAGAACGTAACAAAAACAGGCCCAAACCCGCACAGGATGCTGTGAGGTGCAGGGGCCCAGGGGCCCAACGTCCGGAGGCCCCGGGGACCTCACCACGGAACGCCTGGGACGCTCCTCGGTTCTGAGCTCGTTTTCCCACAGTCTGTGTCTCTTTTTACTCCACAGGCCCCAGCTTCTGCCTTACTTCACGGTCCTTTATGACCTTTTTTTTTTTTTAGATTTTATTTCTTTATTTTTAGAGAGAGAGGAAGGGAGGGAGAAAGAGGGAAAAACACTCATATGTTGCCTCTTACACACCCCCAACTGGAGACCGGGTTCACAACCCAGGCATGTGACTTGACTGGGAATCAAACCAGCAACCTTTTAGTTTGCAGGTCAGCACTCAATCCATTGATCCATACCTGCCGAGGCACAAGCTTTTTTTTTTTAGTTTCCATTATAGTTTGCACTAAATATTATTCTGTATTGGTTTCAGATATGCAGCATAGTGGTTAGAGAATCACGTACTTTACAGAATGGTGCCCCCAATATTGCAATAGCTACTCGTAAGTCTTCTTCCAAACGCGGCTTTAGACGAGGTTGGTCTTACACAGCTTCCTTAGTATTTTCAAAGCAGCCCTGCAGACACTAGTGGGGAAGCCAAAGGAAAAAGATACCCCAAAAACCCAAGTGTTGGGAAATAGACTCAAATCTGACAAGTTTTTCATTGCCATACCACCTGGTTCAAGTTTCAGACTACCTCCTCTTCCTGCCTGAAGGCCCAGAGGGGTCCCCCACCCCGTTTCTCCAGGCTGTGCAGGCTCTTTCCTCCACGGAGTCTCCCCTTTCTAGACCACCAGGCTGAAGGGGTTCTGGGCAGCAGCACACAGGCCCACCTCCTCCGAGGGAGTCGTGGGCACTAACGAGCAGGACGATGGCTGGGCTGCTCTGATGCAGAGTGGGCAGCGGCCAGGGGAGGCGGGGACTGCAGTCTGTAATTACAGCAGGTAAGGAAAGATGCTTTTGGAGCCTAAGAAAGTTAGGTTTGCCTACACGCCCCATCTTTTATATGGAATTCACTGACCGAAGGAATGACATCAGTAAGAAAATAAACAGAGACCACGAAAAGCTCCAATTGTGAACAGGTACGTTGTAATAACGTAGCTAACAGCACCTATACACCTTCCCACACACTCCTGGGCCTACCTGGCGGAGGAAAGTTATTGGGTCAGAGGCCGGTGGATGTCTAAACACCAGTGGAGAGGGGTCAGCTCACTAGCCACCCCCCCGAACATCTAGAGGAGCACCAACTGGTTACTGAACCCCCCACCCCAGCTGCAGCAATGCTGTCCCAAACCAAGCTTCTGGTCACAGCTTCCACCCCGTCCCCACCTCACCTGGCACCTACATGCATCGCCACTGCCAGAAAACGCTATGGTTAGATAAGCAAGATCCTGACAACCTCAAGACACACACGGTGAACAAGGGGAAAAGATCATTTTGGAGAGAGAAGCAGCTCACACTCTTCACCCTGCCTTCCCTTCACGTTCACTTCAGTTGCTCGGAAGTACCATCGCCCCAGAAATTACGACTGGAAAGACGAATGTAAAACACGTGGTTTTTGCAGGACAAAAGTAATTACATAATCACATAAGAATGAAGCAGAATCGTCTTGAAATAGCAAGTTTCTGTGTCCAACTCAATGCCAAGGCCACGCACTACTCTGACCAGACGAACGGCGGGGGCAGTACCTGACTCGGATCAGCCCGGACCGCGGGGAGATCTCGTTTCTGAAGGAATTTCCGATCTGCGCTGCAGCGAACGGCAACTTTCCTTGGTTGAACTCCAAAAGTCGCTTGAAATTGAGGAAAATCCCCTGTGCAGTTTCCGGTCTCAAGTACCTATAAATTTAAATCAATCACTCTGTTATGAAGAAATTGTGTTTTCCAACAAATCTGAAATTCTAGATGCAAGTCCTGAAAGTCCTAGACGTACTACTTTCACAGAGAGCTGCATGAGCCCTACACCCCAGTTTCAGAAAGACAGTTTCCGTGGCAGCGCACATTCTTGAGTATCAGAGAACGCTCCGGGTCACGGGGGTGGCTGTGCTGCAGTGAGAAATGGCACTTTATCAACGTGTTGTCACCCCAGGGAGTCGAATAACCCCTCTCCTGTCATGTCCCCACAACAAATTGTGACACTCCTCCTGACCAATCATTTACACGGAGGCAGGTGGCAATTTTAGACACTGCTGAAAAGTGGACCCACAGCTAAGCTCGCCTCTGCTGCCCCACACAGCGGCACCTGGGGCTGCAGACATGCCAGCGGGCACTGCACGGGACCCCGAGTGCCACATGGAGCCGGGAAACCTTCTGCACTTCCCACACCACGTTCTTCTCCATGGTATTCTACCTTCTCAGCACAGGCTTCTAATACTTCTCCGCATGTTAAAGACAGAGCCAAACAAACATACCATTAGGGCCACTGCCCCTGAATTTCACAGAAAATATTCCAGGCAAAACAACAACTAAGAAAGCGTTCCTAACAGCCTACTTCACAAAAAATGTCTCATAGAAACAACTTTAAAACAAAGGAAAAACAACCAAGTTTCACGCTCATCTCACTCTTACACACCCCACCCTTTCCGTGCTCCTGTCCCGACTTCACCCAGGGGCAAGCACAGCTCACACTTACAGTACGGTTCATGTTCGTACTTTAAGTAGAGTGTACAAGTTTTGTATTCTCCCCTTTACACTTTTCCATTTTTTTAAGTGGCTAAAAATGTCTCATATTTAACAGCTGCAGAGTATTCTACCAAAATGTTCTACCTTGCTATAATTTATTTAAGCATTCCCAAATTACAGGATAAAGAAATTATTTCTACTTTTAATTTATGTGCCCTTGACATATATAGCTTCTTTTCCCTTTTCCTAAGAGAAAAAGAATAATTCCCTCAGACAAATCCCTGGGAGCCGGGCAGCCGGTCTGAGGATGTGGCCCAAGCAGAGCCTTGCCTCTGGCCTCCTTCCACAGAAAACCCCAAATCAGCCTGGCTGGTGTGGCTCAGTGGACTGAGCACGGGCCTGTGAAGCAGGGGGTCGCTGGTTCGATTCCCAGTCAGGGCACAAGCCTGGGTTGCAGGCCAGGTTCCCCAGTAGGGGACACATGAGAGGCAACCACACATTGATGTTTCTCCCACTCTTTCTCCTTCCCTTACCCTATCTCTAAAAAATAAATAAATAAAAAATATTTAAAAAAAAAAAAAAACAACCCAAATCAATGCCGTGGCCTTTCAAAGTGACTCCGGTAACACATTCTGTCACAATTAATTTTTACTATTCTGCAGTCTCCACTCCAGGAAACACGTTCTATTCAGCTTCATCCTACAAAACCCCCCCGTCCCTCACCCTGAACCGGGACCGCGAGGGAAGCTCTCTGGAGCTCTGCAGCGGCAGCCGAGGCGTCTGCAGGCACAGCAGCCGGTTCTGGGCCGCACCGCGCGCCGCTCAGGTGTCCCTTCCTCTGAAAACCACATCTTCGCGGTGACGAGCTGAACCTGTGCTGTCCAATGTGGCAGGCCGCCAGTCACGTCTACCTAAACTAACTAAAATCAGACGGAGCGCCCTGGCCAGTGTGGCTCGGTGGGGCGGAGTATCACCTCGTCATCTGAAAGGCTGCAGATTCAGTCGCCGGTCAGGGAGAATGCTCTTCCCCTCTCCCTAAAATCCTCCAGTGAGGATTAAAAAACTAAATAGAAATAAATTAATTTTAAAGTTCTGTTCCTCAGGGGCACAAGCCCAACTCAAGTGCTCAACAGACACACGCGGCCACGGCGCTGGGCAGCGCAGACCACGGAACGTTTCCGTCGCTGCGGATGGTGCGGATTTAGACGCACCGGTGCCAGTCTCCTCCTGCAGTAAGTTCGACCACTTTCAGAATCGTTCTTCCACTTACCTTCCTGAACTACACAGCTGTAACTACAAGATACGATGATCACAGACTTTTACGTTTATTTTATGGCAAAAAAATCCACCTATACACTGAAAAATTATATTCAGAAAGAATCAGAAGAAACCAAATGTAGAATATGTCGTTATTTCTCCTTTATATATTAATCTGCACTTTCTATATATTACTTTTCAGAATTTTCCATTCTCGGCTGATATTCGTATTTAACTTTTATGACAAGCAATTTCAGTAACTTTGTTACCTAAACAGTGAATGATACATACCCAGGCATGTTTCCTCCAGGCCCAATGAAGGTCTTGAACATCAAGTTAAAAGACACGGGAGGGGAGAGGTCGTTCCCAGTAATGGGGGACTTAACATTGTAATTCACAAAAAGATCCCCAAGTTCTTGCTGTCCATAGTTATCGAGCTAAAGAATAGGCCAAGAAAATGATTAGTGTAACAGGCTGAGAATCATAAGGCATCAGAGAAAGCATTCCATATTAAACCCATCACTATCCATACCTACCCATCACTGAAACTCACCCAAAATAAGAACATCAGAATTAACCTCCCTTTCCAGATATCCACACTAAAACCACAGGCAGTTTACACACTTTTCATTTACCAACAGAGAAACCAAGTATCCTCCTGGGAATAACCTAAAATTCACATATTCACCATTTCACAATCAAAGATATGGTAAAATACTTCTTGTTCAATTGCAATTGTTACTGGTTGGCAAGAACCTGAAATCATGTAAGTTTTTTAAGCTGAACTTTAAAACTCCGTGCATTTTAAGTTGGGTGCACAGCCCCATTTATTCATCAGATGTGCATGTAGCTCTCCTTCCCCACCAGGGAAGCTGCGTCTTAATTCACCACTGCACTTTCTGGTTTACTGAGCGTTTTATACACTGACGGTCAATGCCAAACCCTCCCAAATGATACATGACCTCCAACCAGAGAATTTCAAGTGACTACGAACGACAAATCATTTAATAGTAAAGAATATTTGAAATTAAAAAAACTCTCAACAGAAATAAAACAATTAGATAAATCAACTTATGGCCGTAAGGACTGGCTTTGGAATCAGAAAAACCAGGGTAAACTGCCCAGCTCTACCACTTCTGGGTTGTGTGCCTCCAGACTGAGCTCCGACCTCACCTCTCTGAGCCTCAGTTTGCTTACATGTAAAACAGGGTGGGGTAGACTTACCTCGCTCTAAGGGGTTTCCATGAAGATTAAATGAAATGAAAAGTGCCCAGCACAGGGCCTGGCATGCAGTGCCGACTCGATAAAGGATGACTATGACAATTTATACCCCCCCCCCAATCTGATGGACATTCCACTACACAGAAATGGAGCCTCCTCACATTAACCACAGGTCCCAAATGTGAATTAACCATGTAAGAAAATTAAGCCCTCCTAGCTCTACTTCTACAGAAGTTCTAGGGAAAATACACTAATACCCCACTGACACCATCACCCAGGAGATGGAATCACTAAGGAAAGCATTCCAGTGACTTCAAGATATGAACACCATAAACATGAGTGGGTCTCCCTACTTGAGGACAAGTCAAAAGAGCCTGTGGGTACCTCTGTCTCCTGAGCAATTAGACAATATATAGTGCTTTTTAACAGAAGACATGATAAAAAAAAAAAAAGAAGTCAGGAAGGCCAGATTCCAAGGATACACACAGGAATCAAAACCCCATGAAGGAAAACTTGGCAATTTTCAGCAAAACTGTATTTGCGAGTACATTTTGACCAAGCAATCCCACTTCCAGGAATCTCTCCCAGCGACACTGCAGCAAGAATATAAAGAACAAGGCTACGTATTGCAGAACTGTCTGGAAGGGCAAAGAGGGGAAAGGCCATGCCCAGCGGGAAGGAGCCGGCTCTCTGGGGGCCGTTCCGCAGCCATCTCCAGGGGACTTTGTTACAGAAAAGAGCAAGTTGGAGAAAAGCGCATATGGAATGCTACCATTTGCCTAGAGAGGGGATAACATAATATCCATACATCTTTGTTTATATTCTGTTTAAAAAAATCAGTTTACTATCTTCAAGGTAAAAACTGGTTCCTTATAGGGGCAGAAAGGGAATGTGGTGGAAGGAAGAGGGAAAGACCCCAGATCTACTGAACGTACATTATTTTGAAGATTTAACTGTGGATCTATAAACATTTTTCGTCATAATTATAAAATGAACTTAAATTTCAAAAATAAAACCCTAAAAAATTCAAACTAAAACAAAGTAATGGACTAACTGCACACCCAGCTAGTGAATGAACTACTCAGAGAGAACGGTTCCAAGTGGATCTTGTCCAGTTACTAGACATTAGACATCACATTACTGGTATATCCCTAAGCAAATGAAGAACAAAGAAAATTGTTAACTAGTTTCAAAACTTACACCACTGAGGGGAGTGTTGACACTATCCTTCTGAGAACATTAATGTGTACAGTGTAAGACAAAGCATGTGAATAATGATGCTGGAGTTGCTGAGAACCAGGACTTTCGGTACAGGTAAGGGAGATACAGGTTTAAGATTAATAAAGTCCCATACCTAATATTGAGTAGAGGTATCAATATAAATTCATAATGATTCCATCTTAAAAATTTCCTACTCAGGAGACTTCCGCCAAGATGGAGGCATAGGTGGATGTGCCGTGCCTTCTCACACAACCAAGTTTAGAGACAACTAAATATTAGCAACAGAAAACACAGCCAGAACACAGAAAATTGAACTTTTCGGAAGTCTGTTAACAATAAATTCTTCAGCCTGACCGGTAAGGGGCGAAACCAGCAGCTGGTGGAGCGGGGTTGCACAGGAAAACTCGGTCGGATGACTCAGGCTCGCGGAATCCAGGCCCGCTGAATCCAGGCGCAGGGTTGGACCTAGTGAGTGACCGAGCGAGCGACCAAGCAAGCAACCGTGGGGGAAACAGCGAGAGAGCAGGGCTGCGGGGTTGACTGTGGTCGCGCATTTGTGCGTGGATAGACAAGCGAGGGAGTGAGCAATTGGACCGGAACCCAGCGGGTCCCCACAGCAAGCGGCAGGGAGGGCGCTGCCATTTCCCTGCTCTGACCCCACCTCCACATACAGTGTCATAACCCAGCGACTCTGAGTGGCCTGGCCCTGGTGAACCACCTAAGGCGCTGCGCCTCACCCAGCGGAGCGAAACTGCAGAGGGTGCCGCCATTTCCCCGCTCTGACCACGCCCTCACATACAGCATCACAAACCAGTGACCTGGGAGTCCAAGGCTCTGCTACTCATACTTAATGGGCGAGAACAGACCAAAAATGGCTCAAGAAGATCTCAAAGCCCCAGAGCCTATAAATCTAAGCGATGAAGAAATAGCAAAACTCACAGACGCACGGTTTAAAACACTGGTCATCAGGATCCTCACAGATCTGGTTGATTATAGCCACAAATTAGAGAAACACATGAAGGCAAAACTAATTGAAATTAATGGAATTGCACAGGAAACCAATAGCGATGAAAAGGAAACTGGGACTCAAATCAATGGAGTGGACCAGAAGAAAGCAAATAATGGCCAAACAGAAAAGAGTCAGGAAGCAAGAATTCAAAGAAATGAGGAGAGTCTTAGGAACCTCCAGGACATCTTTAAACGCTCCAACATCCGAATTATAGGGGTACCAGAAGGGGGAAAGGCACAGCCACCAGTGGAAAACTTATTTGAACAAATAATAAAGGAGAATTTCCCCAATCTGGCAAAGGAAATAGACTTCCAGGAAATCCAGGAAGCTCAGAGAGTACCAAAGAAGTTGGACCCAAGAAGGAACACACCAAGGCACATCATCATTATATTAGCCAAGATTAAAATGAAGGAGAGAATCATAGAAGCAGCAAGAGATAAGGGGAGAGTCACCTACAAAGGAGTCCCCATCAGACTGTCAGCAGATTTCTCAAAAGAGACCTTACAGGCAAAAAGGGGCTGGAAAGAGGTATTCCAAATCATAAAATCCAAAGACCTACAACCAAGATTGCTCTATCCAGCAAAACTTTCATTTAGAATGGAAGGACAGATAACATGCTTCTCAGATAAGACCAAATTCAAGGAGTTCATCATCACCAAGCCCTTATTATATGAAACGTTAAAGGGACTTATCTAAGAAAAAGAAGTTAAAAAAACATGAACAGTGAAAGGACAGCAAATGCACAGTTATTAACAACCACACCTAAAACAAAAGCAAACTAAGAGGACAGCTAGATCAGGAGTGGAAACATAGAAATGAAGATCTCAAGGAGGGTTAGCAACAGGGGAGTGGGAGGAGGAGAAGGGGGGAGAAGGCACAGAAAATAAGTAGCATAGACAGCAGATAGAAAATAGATGGGGGGCAAGAATAGTATGGGAAATATAGAATCTAAAGGACTTGAGACACATGGTCATAAACTAAAGGGGGGGTAATGGTGGGGACGGGGGGGGGTAGGGTGGAGGGGAATGAAGGGGGGGAATAGAACAACTGTAACAGCATAATCAATAAAAAAAAAATTTCCTACTCAATCCATTTAAAAGGCCCAGAACCAATGACCATCAGCATTCCCACTTATTAAACATCTTGCCAAAGATATTGAGTCTCCAGATCCAACTGCCAAATTACAAGAAAAATGGGAACAAAGAAACATGTGAAACATCACTAAAATAATGCAGTCAGTCAAATCTGGACAGCAGGAAACTCTAAAAGATAAAATGTCTCAACTTAAAAAATTTTTTTAATGAAAACATAACGAAAAAAGATATGAAGAACCTACAGATTGAAAGAAAATTGAGAAATACTATCTGGGATTCAGATAAAGTCCATACCTTATCTGAATCCCAATTTAAACAAATGCTAGTAACATTTAAGACAATCACGGAGCCCTGACTGGTGTAGCTCAGTGGGTTGAACATGGGCCTGTGAATCAGAGGATTGCAGTTCGATTCCCAGTCAGAGCACATGCCTGGGTTGCAGGCTAATTCCCAGCAGGGGACGCACAAGAGGCAACCATACATTGATATTTCTCTCCCCCCTTCCCTTGCCCTGTAAAGATAAATAAATAAAATCTTTAAAAAAAGATAATCAGGGAAATATGAACACTGAGTAAATATATAATAATAAAAATTATTATTATTTACCAAAGTAACAGCAGTGGGGTTCATTTTCTGAGATTTTTGTCTTTTAAAGATAACATAATGAAATGTTTACAGATGTAAAAAGATGAGGTTTGAGACGTGGGGGACAAAGTGGGAAAGTGAGTGGGGAACTGAGTCAACAAAACTTGGTAACACTGAAGCAGGCTGATGGGTGCATAAGCATCTATCACACTATTTTCTATGTTTATGTTTCCAATCTTTCATAACAACAAACTAAAAATGACTTTAAAAACTGGTGCATACAGAGATAGGTCAGCAAAAATGGGCAGAGGAGAAACAAGAGAATTAGTTCTGAGCTGTTGCATCCACACAACAGGAAGAAAGCTCTTCCTACCAGGAGAGGTCAATTGCGCCTCACAAAGCTGGGAGGAGTCACAGGCACAAAAACATCATTATGGGCCCAAGCAGCGGAGGAGCCTCAGCCGTGAACCCACGGGGACCCTGTCTGAGTACTAGACTGCTTCCCATGGTCTCCTCACTGAAAACCACATTGACAGTAGCATGTACATATACACATACATACACACATATATACATGTACATACACATATACATGTACGTATACATACATCTGATACAGCAAATCAAAAAAAACCCCAGAATGCTCTCCTAGAACTCGGATCCAAGATAAAACAGGAAGTCACTGCTCAAACTATAAAATATGACTTAACAAATCAACTAATTACTTCTTGCTTCTGACAAGTTACTTGGATATAAATGAAAGTGTTACAAGCAAAGACATCCACTTAAAACCTCAGTAAGTCTAATACTCTGAAGAGGAAAGCAGTAATTCAGGAGTAGTTAGACATGCTTCTCATATCTTCTCTCTAATAATGAAAAAGGCCATGCCTTTGGAAAAGAAAGGAAATAAAAAATGAATGTGTAGCTATGACGGTGTCAAACACAAAAACTGATTTTCCAAATCATGAGTAACAATAAATAGTATAGCAATGAGTTTCAAGCAAGGAATAAACTGAACCTCACAAGGACCCAAAATAATTGCCCGATAAAGATGATTTTCAATTTAAATGAGAAAGGAGAAAATTTCTCAGCTAATGCTGGAAAGCTAGATACCACAGAGAAACATTAGCTCATTAAAAATTAATTAGTATAAATTAGTATACTTGCTGGTATAGAAAGTTATACCAGCAAGCCCTGGCTGGTGTAGCTCAGTGGATTGAGCGCAGGCCTGCAAACCAAAGGATTGCTGGTTCGATTCCCAGTCAGGGCACATGCCTGGGTTGTGGGCCAGGTCCCCAGCTGGGGGCACATGAGGGGCAACCACACACTGATGTTTCTATCCCTCTCTTTCTCCTTCCCTTCCCTCTAAAAAATAAATAAATAAAATTAAAACAAATTTAATTAGGGCAACAGTGGAAAAGGAAGCAGTAAATTCTCATGAGAGAAAAGCAGAGCTGGGGAGCCCGACATTCAGCCTCATGTATTTACACACCAATGTAAAGAAAATACGTATGAACACATCGCTGGGTTTTTTTGTTTGTTTTTTTAACCGAAGGAAGTAAATGTAAGAGGTGCGCTGCGGGGGACCTCATAACCAAGCCGTGTTGGAGAAAGGGACTTGCTTCCGTGCCGCACTGGGCAGGCACTCAGCGACATCTACACCCGGACGCGTGCGCCTTCACGGGCTGAAGTCGCACAGCGTGGTCACGTCTGAAGGGGGTCGGTGGCCCACAGAAAGGGGAAGAACTACTTCTGATACAGAGGGTGTTCCCGCACTTGGGAAAAGTCAGACTAGTCGTCTCCATGGTCCCTCGTCTTCCCTAAAACTTGCCATCTTAAACAGAAAGGTAAGAACTGCACTGGAAAAGCAGAGACTGAGTCACCAGGTCCTGAGAATGATGACCTGGGGTCAGGCACGGTGCAACCTGAAGCAGCTCAAGTGGCTGATGAGACAGTGCTCCTAAAGACACCTGCCCCCGAGTCTCCACGTCGACGATGAACACTAGTCATCGTCCATCCCTCCTCTGGTTTTTGCTAATAAACCCAGGAAACTGGTTTCCAAGGAGAGAGAACAAATTTCATGCCTATCTAACCAAACTTGTTGGTTTTGGCTAAAATAGAGGGTTAGTCACAAAAGGCAGGGAGAAGAAAATAAAAATGCAACTAGAGATGCTGTAAGGGATAGAAGGTAAACTTGACTTCTATATTGCTGCAGCCAGTGTCCACACCCGTGGAACTCAGCACTCGCTAAACGCCAGAAGGCAGACAGCAGCTACCTGAGGTGCTGTGATAACATCTGTCAAGAACTCACCTGAGCCAAGACACTCTCCATCTCTGATTTCTTCTCGGCAGAACACCTCTTGTCAGACATCAGTTTCTGTAAATGAGCTGTGAAAACAAGGTTGGCATACGCCAAAGTCAATCAGTGGGGACGGCGGACAGTGCACATTTGCGTTTCGGTGCTGGGCGGGGAGAAAGAGTGAACCCCAGGGTAACGTTCTTAATTTACACGAGTCCCTCGGTTGATTTCACAGGGAAAGGCATGATATTGTCTTGATTCCTTTGTTGATTTAGGGTTTCTAATTATCTGTACACATATTTTTGAAAATAAGGGATTTAATCTGCACACTTAGGATCTGTGGACTTTAATTTATCCTTTGTATGTTATGCACACCCCAAAACAATTTAATAGCAAAAAATCAAGAAAGGCTTAATCTAATCCTCTGTTCTGATCAGTCCTACTCAGAAGCGTACTTAACTAAGAGCCGTACCTTTTAATAGATGGTCAGCGCGAAAACACTCTCCATTTTTCACGTCTTTCACCATGAAGTCAGCAAATTTGTCTACGTGGCCAGAGGTCCTAAGGTAAAACATTTTCATACAAATAACACACAGATTTTACCATATCAGACAACCCCTCTTCTCTATGTTTATCCATAGTTTATATCTTTGAACCTGAAAGATGTAAGCTCCCACATCTAAAATGATGCCTCTGTGGTAGATAGTAATGTATGCCAGAGAAAAGTATTCCGGGAGGAAAAAAGACATCGAACAGATCACACATTTTCACAAGTTGTCATAAAGTCTATGCTACTTTGCAGAATCAATCCATGCCTATCCCACTGCCTATCACTGACGTGATACAAGCAAAGGCCAAACCACGGCAATGGGACTGGCTGGGAATTCATCTCTCGTCATGGACAATGAACCTTGGTTCTCTGCACAGAAACCTGTATGGACACCGGTATTCTCTCTAAACAGCTCCTGTTAGCGGAGCAAGCAATGAAGAATAGGTTCTGATCTTTTAGAGCACATGGCTCTAAACACATGGCCCAATCCAGCCGTCCACCTTGTTTCTACCCGGCGGCAGCGCCGAGCTCTCACTTTACTGTTAAGGAGCAGTTACATGTATACAGTCCTAAAATTACATTCGGCCCTTTGAAGGCAACCACGAGGCTGATGTGGTCCCCGGTGAAAATGACTTTGACACCCCTATTTTAGACCTATCACCAGGAAATCGTCTCATCTGCATTGGCTGAAATTACTAAGAGAGAGCCTAATGGATGCAAACAGCAAAAATTAGCTCTTTCCTGGGCAACGTTAAAAAGGAAGTGAGGAACTACAAAATGCTAAGAATTCCTCTTTCAGTTTTATATTCAAAACATCCTTTCCTCTTTAAGTTCTATACTCAAAACATCCTGCTATGCTTTCAACAATGTTGGAAGGAATAATTTAAAGTTCTGCATTAAATCTTCAATGCAAATGGTAGCATGTGATTAAAAACGTATACATACCTTTGCCCAGAATTTCTAAGAATTTCTACTGAAGAAATTGGGGGTATACACGGAAATTCGTCCCTCTGGATGTTGCAGTGCAGTAGAAAGTTAGAAACAACTGACATGTCTGTAACGTGAACCGCTAGCTACAGACGTGACAACACACCAGGGACAGAATCCTGCACTGTCACCGACAGCGTTGGGACACTAGTGACAGGAGTGACTATCACCTGTGTTCCGTGAAAACGGCAGCGTGCGGCCCACACCAACACGTGGGCAGGGACGCGCAGGAAGTACAACTGCAACCGTTTTATCGTGGCTACCTGTCGGTGAGGGTTTTCCATGTCTCTCTTTTTCGATTTTCATAAAGAACACGGGTAGCTTTTTATAATCACAAAATTACTTAAATGTGCGTATCAGAGAATGCCAGCCCTCCAAGGAGAAACCTTACTTTAACACTGGCTCGGGAGTGAGCATGGTGCAGTCGATCTCCAGGATCTGCTCCTCCTGGATGAAGTGCTGCCTCCAGGTCTGAATAATGTTGTTCTTCAGAGCACATCCGACCGGGCCGAAGTCGTACAGACCACTGACCCCTGCAAAAGGTAAATGACAGGGACACGTACTTCACCTTGTCGCTCTGAACAAATGAAGGCGAGGAGACATGAGAAACAGATACTGTGTGACCTCACACACTCCCTGAAAATGGGCTCAAGTCAACGATCCAACTCCCTCAGTACTGAAGGGCCTCATCTCACTAGTTGACAGAGGTACAATTAAAAAGCTCTTACTGTGCTTACTACATCCAAACTAAGAATTTCAAGTAGGATTAGCAAAACAACAACAAAAAACCTACAAGCAAAAGAAGCCCCTCCATATGCAAGAAGAAAATGAAAAACGTATTATAGTTTTCTGCCACAGAAATTAGAAAATAATTTCTTGCATCAGCTGATACTAGTGATAATTTTAGCACTTGATTCTCTAACTTATCCTTGGGTATCTGAGCCACTCTTTAAACCTCACCAAGTTAAACATTTAGAGATCCACTTAGCCAAACAGACTCAAGTTTTAGCAACAAAGCACCGAAAGTCTAATATTGCTTAAATGATCTCTGTTGACTATGAACAATACCGTTCTACATTAAATCAGTGAATTATATTTGCCTACATACCTTCATATAGCTTTCAGAAAAATGTAGAGATTTATCTGCATATTGTACCTATGACGAATGTTTTCCTGTGATTTAGGGACTTCGGTTTCTCACTGCCCTTGCGTGCAGGTGCACGGTACCTGTGGCCTGCGTTACAGGGCCCTCTGCTGCTCCGGAGTGTCCACTGCATTCTAAGAAGGCTACCTAGTGTGCGCAGCTGACCCTGGAACAACATGGGAAGTTAGGGGCACCAACTCCCCCCCCCCGCAGTGAAAAACCTGCATTTGACTTTCGACTCCCCCAAAACTTGGCTAATATCCTACTGCTGACCGGAGCCTTACTGATTACATAACCAATCAATTAATATATGTTTTGTATATGTGTTATGTATTGTATCCTTAGTAAGCTAAAGAAAAGCTTGTTAAGAAAGTCATCAGGAAAATACATTTATAGAAAAAAGTCCACACGTAAGCAGACCTGAACAGTTCAAAGCCATGTTTTTCAAGGGTCAACTGTGCGTGGACGCACTTTGGTGCTTAACACTCGAGCCTCCTATAATTCCTCACCCTACTGAAAAAAGGCTGCCTTCAACACTAAGTGGGGTGGAGGGAGATAAAAGCAGGTTTTACATCAAATGGCCAAATCTAAACAAACAAAAGCGAAATACCCTCTGCTTCATGTGACTTCATTCAGTCGGGTATGGACAGGCAAGCCATGTTTCTGATTAAAGAAAATATTAAAGCCTCTAATCACAGCTGCTTTTTCTACCCTAACCCTTACCTCCGTAAATAGCAAAAGCTTGATCGTAGAAGAACCGCCTCTTCAGGGTGTCTTCCATTTTCGCTCTGTCTACGATGTCGTCTTTGGGCTGCAACGCCAGCTCCTGTCGGGATTTTCAAACAGAACATGTGTGATCGGAGGGATGAGTCGTAATATGAATTTATGTGTGTGAATTTGGTTTGCTCATTAGCAAAATTCAATATAAAATTTATCAGATAAGATTTTGATACCCTTAAAAAAATAGAAACCTTGAGTCTTTCCCCCCTTTTGAGTTACAGAAAAGTAACCTTTACTTAATTATTTAGGAAAGTATGATCATTTCCAAGACAACAAGACTGAACTTACTTAGATGCAGGTACCAATAAACAGTATCTAAATTTTTAGTGGATCACCATCCCAGAACAGTGATTAAAACACCAAGTTTGGTGATAGGAGAGCTACTGCTTGAGAGTTCTGGGGGCAGGTATCAAATGGATAGACCTTTTCCTTCAAAGAAAAAAAACGAGACCACAAAACCATGACTTCTAGGCATGGGAGACTCTGGAGAAGAACAAGCCTTCCACCTTCTGGGGAAAGCACACAGACTCTAGGGTCGGGGGGAGGGCAGGCCAGGGGTCAGGACGGCTTCAGAGAAAGGTGACCTTCTGAGCTGCTGTTGGAAGAATTAGGAGTCTGCCAGGTGGAGGAAGAGGTACAAGCCTCCTGGGTAAGTAGAGATAAAGCAAACGGTACTTGTTCAGAAACTTTTCTAGGTTTTTCTCCCCAAAGAGATTAAACAAAGATGAGCAATCCTGTATCTACTTACATCCCTATTTTGGAAACCTTGACTCACCTTTGCTTCGAGAGCCCTCTTCCGGGCTTTGAGCTCAGCTACTGCTTTGTCTACATCTGCTTGGGGAGCTTTATCTTCCTTCAGTTTTCGCACCAGATCTCCCTAGCCAACAAAGAGAATTTACATTCAGGTTGCTTTCAGAGGTCAAGAAAAGTTAGGAATGTGTTTTTCAGCAGGCCTTTTAAAGTGCCTGTAAGAATAAGGCAACTCGAACGTTTACTGTAAGAGGTCACTAGGAAAAACCAAAGGTCCCTGCACTCAGCATTTACAGTTCAGCAGAATATACAAACCAGTACACAAACAACTATGCTCTCAGGGTTGAATGCGATTATTACTAGTGCTCTTTTTCTTTTGGAAAAGGAGCAAAGAAAAGCATTGATAAGTAGGACAGAGCTAGATTAGTACAGAGAACACAGAAGAAGCAATAAACAGATCATTCTTTCCTTGAATCTCTCTATCTACTTATATAAAAAAAGACTCTTGGTTTTCCACCTACTTCCCTGGAAGAGCCCTCCTCCCCCTGCAGGAGCAACCCTTCCACATGGGCCTTTCAGGTCTGTTTCCAGAGATTAAAGTATTCAAAATAATAAGCACAAGGTCAAAATTAAAAAAACCCATGAGGAAACGAGCCGCCGTGACTGACACTTGGGAGAAATGATAAATAACAGAATTAGATGCTCCAAAGTATTACAGTGACCAAATATGCAACAAACGATGTTTAAAAAATAAAAATAAAAGCAGGAACCAAAAATATGAGCAAAGAACAGAGACTCCCCCAAACAATCAGGCAACTGGAAAAAGAACCACACAGATCATGTGGAAGTGAACAATGAAACCAAAAAACTCACTGGACAGGTGAAGCAGCAGATCAGATACTGTTGAAGAAAGAATTCATGACTCCATGGATAACCATGGATAGAGAGACAAAGAGTTACATTTATAAATTAGGCAATGAGACACAGAGAAGAGAATGAGTGACTGACACTCATCCAACCAGAATTCCAAAAGAACAGAGAAAATTTACTACATATTATATTTGAAAAGATAATGGCTACAACTTTTTCTGTAATTGCTCAAAGACAGGAATTCTCAAATTTAGGGAGCACAATGAAATCCAATAATATATAAAACAAAAGTCCACACCCAGACAAGCTGTATAGAACATAGCACTTAAGTGCGGTTATAAAAACCTAGCTTTTTTTGTTGTTTTTTTGGTAGTTATTTTGAGTTTTATTTTTTTATTTTTAAATATTTTTTATTTTATTGATTATGCCTTTACATTTGTTCTATTCCCCCACTCCATTCCCCTCCACCCTGCATGCCCCTCCCCCACCATTCCCCCCTTTAGTTCATGAACACGTGTCTCAAGTTCTTTAGATTCTATATTTCCCATACTATTCTTGCCCCCCATCTACTTTCTATCTACTGTCTATGCTACTTATTTTCTGTACCTTCTCCCCCCTTCTCCTTCCCCCACTCCCCTGTTGCTAACCCTCCATGTGATCTTCATTTCTATGGTTCTGCTCCTGATCTAGCTGTCCTCTTAGTTTGCTTTTGTTTTAGGTGTGGTTGTTAATAACTGTGCATTTGCTGTCCTTTCACTGTTCATCTTTTTTATCTTCTTTTTCTTAGATAAGTCCCTTTAACATTTCATATAATAAGGGCTTGGTGATGATGAACTCCTTGAATTTGGTCTTATCTGAGAAGCATTTTATCTGTCCTTCCATTCTAAATGAAAACTTTGCTGGATACAGCAATCTTGGTTGTAGGTCTTTGGCTTTCATGACTTGGAATACTTCTTTCCAGCCCCTTCTTGCCTGTAAGGTCTCTTCTGACAAATCTGCTGACAGTCTGATGGGAACTCCTTTGAAGGTGACTGTCCCCTTATCTCTTGCTGCTTCTATGATTCTCTCCTTCATTTTAATCTTGGCTAATGTAATGATGATGTGCCTTGGTGTGTTCCTTCTTGGGTCCAACTTCTTTGGGACTCTCTGAGCTTCCTGGATTTCCTGGAAGTCTATTTCCTTTGCCAGATTGGGGAAGTTCTCTTTTATTATTTGTTCATACAAGGTTTCCACTTGTAACTGTTCCTCTTCCCCTTCTGGTACCCCTATAATTTGGATGTTGGAGCGTTTAAAGATGTCCTGGAGGTTCCTAAGCCTGTCCTCATTTTTTTGAATTCTTGTTTCTTCATATTTTTTCTGTTTAGTCATTTTTTCCTTCCTTCTGGTCTGCTCCCTTGATTTGAGTCCCAGTTTCCTTTCTATTACTCTTGGTTTCCTGTGCATTTCCCTTCATTTCAATTAGTTTAGCCTTCATATGTTCCTCTAATTTGTGACTAAAATCAACCAGTTCTGTGAGCATCCTGATCACCAGTGTTTTAAACTGTGCATCTGAAAGTTTGGCTATTTCTTGGTCACTTAGATTTATCGGCTCTGGGGCTCTGAGCTGTTCCTGAGCCGTGTTTTGATCTGTCCGCGCCTGTTATGTAAGAGGAGAGGCGCCTTGGGCGTTCACCAGGGCGGGGCCACCCAGGTCGCTGGTTTGTGACGCTGTATGTGGGGTCGGGGTCAGAGAGGGAGCAATGGCGGTCCTCTCAGCTTGCCCAGTCGGCCTCAATGCTCGCCCCCGCCTGCTTATCCAAGCACAATTGTGAAAGCCGCTGCCCTGCGCCAGCCCCTGGGGCCTGCACAATCTGTCTCAATGCTCCCCTCTTCACTGGTTTATCTGCGTGCAAATGCGAGACCAGCCGCGCATCTTCCCTGGGTTCCGCCCGTAGCTAGCCCGAGCCTGGAATCCGCGCCCTCGGCTGCCTGTGTACCTACCGCCCGGGGGATCTTTTTTGCCCAACCCCCTCCGCTCCTGGCTTTGCCCCTCTCACCAGTTTAGCTGAGCAGTTCGCTATTTTCGGACTCCGTATTCGATTTTCTGTGTGGTTTGTTTGCGTTTATTGTTGTTAAAACTTTATTGTTTTTAGATTTGGTTGTGCAAGGACGCAAAGTGTTCCCATCTACGCCTCCATCTTGGCGGAAGTCCAAGACCTAGTTTTTAATACATGATCAGCTGATTTTGAAACCCTAAGCCAAAATGTCAATGTGTTGTTATAACGAGTAAATGAAACAATATAAATAGAGTATTTTCAACAGTACCTAAACAAAGTGGGTATATAAGAAATTACAGCCAATATGTGCTGTAAAGCACCTCAGACTGGCTGTGGCCTAATGGTTTTCCAGAGATGTCTGACCCAACTGGTTTAGAGCTTAATTATTTTCTCTGCTCCAAACTTGCTCCTTCTCTCGTGTATCACTCTGCAGTTATTCATGGCAACAAAACCCTCCATTTCCCAAACCAGAAGCATCAGGTAATCCTAATTTACCTCCAACATCTAGTCCGTTTCTCGTCAGAATTTCGGATCTAATCTCTCCCTTCCCCCATCACAGATGGCCAGCCTGTCTGTCCTCCGTACTACTACAGCCGGCCCAACTACCCTAACTTGTGCCCTCGCTCTCCAGCCTCCACAATCCTTCTCTTCACAAGCACAGAGAGCCTCTGATTTGGAGACCAACCCTACCTCAATGCCATCAACGATGTTCATCCCCCTACTCAACAGGGCTTCCCCTGGCTTGATGAAATCCTACCACATCCTTCGGGAAGCCTTTCCCAACTGCTCCAACCGCACAATGTCTGCCCTGGAAGCTGCCTGAACTAGGGGCTGGGTTTTCTCCCATTTCCCTTTCAGCCTCAGCGGCTGGAAATGAGACAGATGTCCTCCTTGTGCCCCTCCACACTTCCAAACTGACTCCTCTCCCTCCTTCTCAGAGCCCTGCTCCCTGGAAGGACCTGCCATCGATCGCCCTTCCCCTGTTGTTCCTTTTCAAGCTCGCGTTTACTGCCCCTCATTCAGCGACAGTCTCCCGCTCCTTCAATTCCTGCTACTGTGGAATGTCCCGGTCAGGCTACGAAAAGCAGTTTATAACGACCTGAACCTAGACCCTAACTCTGCTTACATTCAGTCAGAAGTCTTTTCCCAGTCTTAACATACACCGAGTTTTGCAGAAATGCTACCCAGAAGAATGTAATTTAAAAGAAGACTGTACCTTCTTTTGTTTAGAGTTTTACAAAGAGTTATTACTTGAAACAGACAGACAGAACCACGTGACCAATGGCAATGCTGTGGTGGTGCCAGGACAACCAGTACAGCACACCCTCACCAGTGTGCACACGCGTGGCAGCGACACGCAGTCAGTCTGCGTGGAGCTCAAGCATCGGCTTCCTTCAGCACAACATCCAGGGGAGCCACACCCCCAAACTTACATAACAAAATGCATGTTATTTTATTGTAATTTTCTTTGTAATATATTTAAAGCATTATGTTTACACATGCTCTCCTTTACTTAGGGTTAGGAGGTATTTTGTGCGAATCTCACTGCTGGACAGTACTGACCAATCCCAAAATGTCTGGTGTAAGAGGCAACCCGGGCAGCTCCCTCCCGACCTCTCCGGCTGCCGCGCTGACCTCGGCCCCTCCCCCTTGTTTCGGTGTCTCCGTCGCACTCCCACCACCTGAGATCGCCCTGCCCATGCACTGGCGGGCTTATGGACATGCACTTCATCTGTCCCTGTCTTAGGACAGGGGCTGTGGCAGGTCATTTCTGGCACTCCAATATTTGCTGACTGATATCACAACCTAAACCCAGCACGGTGCCAAGCACTTACTACTCAGCAAATCTCTATTAATTCATTCTTTACTCATTCAGTGCTCTTTTCCCTTCCTCTGCGGCTCAGAGCATCCAGCTCATAGTGCTCATCAACAGTGCTTTCTGAGGGGATAAGAACCCACAAGGGCCCTTGTTCTGAAAAGAGGGTGGCAAGCAGTAATTCTTTATCTCTTACTTTTTTGAAGATTTCGTTTATTTTTAGAGAGAGGGGAAGGGAGGGAGACAGAGAGGGAGAGTAATATCCATCGGCTGCCTGCCATGCACCCCTACCTGGGTACCTGGCCCACAACCCAGGCATGTGCCCTGAGTGGGAATCGAACCAGTGACCTTTCATGTTGTGGGATGGCGCCCAACCAACTGAGCCACACCAGTCAGGGCGGCAAA